GAACCATTGGGATTTGTCACCTCAGCTCTTTGCTCACTGCTCTGGTGTCACACACGTCATAGACCTGGTGTTGTGAATAATCCACTAATCCCTGTCTGTGAGTTGATGCACATTTAAAAAAAATCTAGTCTAGAGTTACGAAAGAGCTGTCTGGAATGCGGGCCCTCACTTCCTCCTCAACCCTACAATACACTCAGACATTGTGCCTTTGCCCCATTCCAGAAGCCCTGTTTGCAAATATACTCACGTAAGGGCATCCTGACTTTCTTTGTTGTTTTGGCTCGGGTTTTGATTTTTATATTAACCCATTTTTATTTGTCCCGACTCCACTTCTTTGGCCCAAGGGCTAAAGGCTAAATCTCTTTAAAGACCTTCTGTTGAATGCGGGGGCCTCATTTTCTAACACGAATCCATCTGTTTGCATGGTCTTTCATTCATCTGTTCAACCAGGGGTATTAAGAGAATAATCTCTGGATTATCACACCGTTGACTTCCCGTCAGAATTCCAAGAAGGAGAGTTTCGTGAGCCCCAAATCTTAGAGGCTGAGAGTTCCTCGCCATCATGGGAGCAGAGGTGGAGGAGGCGAAGGCTTCCATGAGGGTTATTAAGGCATCACTGGGATCACTGTACCCACCTCGGTGGTGCTTGTATGGAATGGGGGTGCTTTTGGTCACCAATACAGTGTCTCCCAAGCCCTTTGCCAGAGGACTGGGGAGATACACAATAAGAAAGACCGTGTCGGTCATTTTGACAATTGACTGTCCGCCACCTAGAACATAGTAGACAATAAATGACTGCTGAGTAGATTATGAATGACAGTTTTTTAATTCTCTGAATACCACTGCCTGTAAGTAAGGGAGTAGAGGTGGGTTTGGGGAGTAGAAATCGAATTTCCTATCCCTTCTGTCTTTTTGTGGCCTATTGGAGAGACAGATACTTTCCCGTGCCCTTTGAGGCCCGGGGGTCTGTCCTGACCTGCCCCGGAGCCACATCTTGTAGCGCAGCCCCCCCCCCCCCCCCCCCCCCCCCCCCCCCCCCCCTTCTTGCCGTTCCTCCTACCCGCTGTCTACGCACGCCTGTCCCTCTGTCCCTTTCCTCTGGGAGCTGTCTGCTTCCTTCATCTCTTCGCTCTCCTCACTCCTCAGGGAGGCCTGCCCCAATCCTCGCAGCAAGGAAGGCTCCCCGTTACATTTGCCTTGAGAGTAAACCCGTGAGGGCAAGGCTGGGGCAGATGGGCCCGGCACGGAATAGCCGACGGATAAATAGCTGGGGAATGACCGCGGGACGGGATGAATGCGCGAGCAATGGGGAGGGGTAAACTGAGATCAGGGACTTTCTTTACCTGGGGTCTGTGGATGGGCTCCTGAAGCTGTCTGTGACCGTGAGTGCGGATCCACAAGCATGTGTGCCCGGCTCCTAAGGGGAGAGCCCGTAGCTTTTGACAGACTGAAGAATTGTGGGGGCCAAGGGCAGGCTGCCCCATGATGGGCCACTTTGGCATGAAGATTATTTTGCGTTAAAAAGCCGTTGAAACCCAGCAGATGGAGGAACAGCTCTTTACCTCTCCCGCAACCGCCTAAAAAGAATTTAGGTAGAGGATCCAGGAAGAGAACTGTCACCACAGAGAACGGCATTATGGTATGAACAAGGTACGGCAGACGGGGAAGAACCTGGCAAGGCCTGTTTTTTTTTTTTTTAAAATAAAGATTTTATTTATTTATTTGACAGAGAGAGAGAGAGAGAGAGAGAGAGCCCAAGCAGGGGGGGCGGCAGGCAAAGAGAGAAGCAGACTCCTCACTGAGCGGGGAGCCGGATGCGGGGCTCGATCCCAGGACCCTGGGAGCAGGACCTGAGCTGAAGGCAGACGCTTAACCACTGAGCCACCCAGGCGCCCCTGGCAAGGCCTGTTTGATCCAAGTCCCCCATGTCCCATGGGTTCCCAGTGGCCCAGCCCACATTGGCTTACCAAACACTTCCTCTTTTTCATCCTCCTGTGAATTGCACTGTTTCCCTTGGAACTCCCAGACCCCTACCCCTTCTCCTTGAGTCAGAAGGACACAAAGTCCTCATTTTGCCTATCTTTGGAATTTCCATGCCTTTGTGGATTCCCTGTACATATGAAATTAAATTTGATTTTCTTCCATTAGTTTGTCTCCTGTCCATCTAGAAGGATTTTGAAGGGCAGAGGAAACCCTTCCTTTCCAACAGAATCTTTAAGGAGTTTCAATGAATATGTTTAATTATATGAAGAAAGGAGAAAAAGAAAAGAGAAGGGGAAGGTGAGAAAAGCAACAAAAGATAAAGGGGAAATTAATAATGAGAAATGGAACAGAAGAAAGTTGAGAGAGGAGGAAGGGCCTGAGAGAAGGTGATGGGGGGGAGGTCAGTTATTCCTGAATGAATCCTCCAAACTTAGGGAGCCCAAGTCTGTGCAAGACCCTGTGTTAGGAACTGTCAGGGGTTCGATGAATAGCCCGATCGGACTGCTGCCCTCCTGTATAAGAGGAGAGTGTTCTGGGTAACTGCAATTGGAGTGAATGGGATGAAATGATCCAAGAGAGGTTTAGAAGAGCCATTTGCTAGCACAGCGGAAGGGAAATTACACATAACAGAAGGAAGGAAGACCCTGGAAGACTTCCTGGAGGAGGGGTAACATTGCAACCTGCCCTTAACCAATGGGTAGGATCCCAAGGAGAGCGGAGAGGGGTAGGTGAGCACTCAGATGAGAGAAGGGTGTAAATAAAGCTGCTGGTCCAGGAAACCAAGGTGGGTGATACACAGGTTGTGGGGCTCTTGACAGCCTTTGTGAAGCATCTGAGTTGGGAGCTGCCCCCGTTGGTCAGTGATAGACACACAGCAGGTGGCACCTGGAATTACCAAGTGAGATGAACTTACTGAGAGCAGAACAGACTCAGGGAAGGAGTCCACCGCGAAGAAGTTTGAGGATTTGCAATGACGCAGCATTCGTAAGACTTCTGGCGAAAAGTAAGCTCATCGTTGACCCGCAAATGCGTCTCCCATATCACCTCTACAGATCCTGAAATGTGTCAGCTCTTGCACCTTTTAAAGAGGTTGTCCTTGTGTGATCTGGTGGGATACTGATCTCCAGATACTGTCTTCTTCTTCTTTTTGTTCTAAGAATCCTTGGCTTATGAATTCACACAATATTTAGATTGTGTAAGATTGAAATCCGTGTGAGGTGTGTGTGTGTTCATTAGTTGCTGCCACCGATTCCCTTTTAACTGGGTCGAGTTACACAGAGAGCTTCCTGTGGGAGCAAAGAAACCTGAGGAGAAGGTGCTAGATCTCAAGACACCCCTGTTCTGGAAGGACTCCTGCTCTCTGCTGCCATTACGAACTATTTACCGGGCCCAGGAAATCTCAGCACCTGTTTTCCCATTTGTAAAAAGAGCTCTATCCTGGTGGGCTTTCCTGGTTCCCTCCAGGAGTCCAGTGTCCCCAGAGGCGTGGCACGTGGCACTCCAAACCCAGCACGGATGGCCGCATAGACCTGAGCTGGAGGGGACCAGGAAGAAGACAGAGCATGGCTTGCCCGCTGCCTGCATACTTCCGGGAACTATTGCTGGGGAAGCGGACTATGGACCAGCCTTATCCCAGTGACACCCATAATCCGGGCCAGGGCCGTAACTCTGAGCTTGACCTTTCTCCCAGGCAGAATCACTGTGGAGGCCACGCTGGAGTTCGCAAGGGCTATGGGTGGGTTTCAGACAGACCCAGGGAGCCTGGCCTGAGGGATCCCTATGATCGCTAAGGGTCAGAACACGGGGTGAGTCAGTTTTTCATTCCTCTTTTACTGACTGCGATAAGAATATTTACCACCCCCCCCTTCTCCAGAATATGTTAGGGACCTGAGGCAGGGTTGATCCTAATTAAGACTGTAAAGCAAATAAGTTGAGCCGTTAATATCCATTTTTTTCCTCCCACATTTCCCATTTGGAGGCTACCTTCCCTCAGCTGTCTTCCTTTCTCCCCTCCTTCCGACTATCCCATGGCATCTGGAGCTCCAGAACTTTCCAGATTTCTTTCTGCCCACCCGCTGGCAAAATCTTCTTCTTCTAAAACTCCTTCCCAGGACTAAAGGTCCCAGAGTGAATCCAATGAGCAAAATCAGATGAAAGACGGGCTGGTGTCTCTACTTGGTCCCTCAAGGATAGTAAACACCTGATGGTCTGGGAATGAGAACAGTGACTTTACATTATTTCCAAATCGAAACTACATTTGACAACAGGCCTTCCGGGCCTTTACTGAGTAGCACAGGGGGTCCAAGGTGGTGGGGGAGACTGTTTCAGTACCGCTTACAAAAATGAATAGAACATCTGTTTTTGCTCATCAGATTTCAGATTTACCCAATTTACCTCAAGCCTCGAGCTGCATAATTATTTAATGCAAAGCTTGGATGGCAGATCGCTTCCATCTTGGGGATGCCTGGAAGCTTGCTGGGAAGCCATGTGAGGTGACTGCCATATGTGGGAGTTGGGGGGGGTCATCAGGATGAATTGGTGATGTCTGCCTGGGAGAAGGCGTGGGCAGACACTTGCAGACCATCAGGTGTTTATTATCCTTGAGGGACCAGGTAGAGACACTGACCCGTCTTTCTGGCCTGAGGGATGTCATCCATAGCCCTGCTCCTAGAAGTGGGGTTCTCCGGGCAGCAACCACAGCTCTACACAGGAGCTTGTTAGAAATGCAGAATCTCAGGCCCCATGACCCTGCCCCCGCCATCAGATTCTGCATTTTCACCAGCTCCCCAGGGGATTCGTATGCGCATGACAGTCTGAGACACAGGGGTGAGCTGGTCTTCCTGCCAGCTTCTCACTGCTGGAGCTAGTTCCTACACACTGGTTTTCTACAGCACATCAGCAGGGATCAGACTAGCTCCCTGTGTTCATGGGGGACACCCCCTTCACCCCTCTGCTCTGGGAGCTTTACTGATAAGGCTGTTCTGTTTCTGTCTTACTATCGTCATTTCTGTCCCTAGGCGATCTATAAGATGGTTTCCTCTGTAATGAAAATGCCTGAAGATGAGTCAACCCCGGAGAAAAGGACAGAAAAGATCTTCCGCCAGATGGACACCAACAGAGATGGTAGGAGGCCGTGGCACTTGGCTTTGCTCAGAGTGGGCACTGCTGGAGGGACAGGGGCCACCTGGGCAGGCAGATGCCACTCAAGGACAAGACATTAGTCGCAAGGACCTGGCTCACAGCTCTTTGTGAAAGGGGCTCATCCCATAAGCTCCCTGGCAGTGCAGGACAGACAGAGAGGGACCCAGGTGGGACAGGCCTAGGCCACAGCAGGCTGGATCCCTGCAGGCCAGCTAATCAGAAAGCAGAGAGGGACTTGGTGTAATTCCACCCAGATCTGGTGGCTTTCACCCCAGCCTGCCCAAGGGGTCCGGTTGGGCTCTTCTGCGCATGCCCTAAGGTGTTGGGTTTCCTGGAGCCACGTAGTCTTCCCCAGCCTGTGTGGGCCAGGGGAGGAGGGGAGCGAGGGGGCCAGCACTTTCTACCCGGAGGAATTCAACAAGAGGATTCAAAACAATTCCAACCCAACAAGAGAATTCAAAACAATCCAAAGTGAAAAGGAAGGCTGGATTTCAAACTCAAGATTAGTGGATTTTAGATGTTGGGTTGCCAGATGGAATATAGGAGGCCCAATCGACTTTGAATTTTGGATAAAGAACAAATGGTGTTCTTTAGAGAAGTGTGTCCTATGCAATATTTGGGACACACTTATATGAAAAAAAATTATCGTTTATTTGAAATTCAGTGTTAACTGGGCATCCCGTATTTTATGTACCTGATGTGGCAGCCCTAGTTAGATGTGACACCTGAATTTGAGGTGCTGAGCTCTGAGCCTGCTGCGGAGGAAACCCAGTCTTCTGCAGCCCTTGCTGTTATTACCAGCTCCCCTGTTCCGCCGGGTGTCCGCGGCAAATCTTGTCAGCGATGCGCAAACGCTTTCCCCTACCCCAGATAGCACCGGTGGACAGAACGACGGGAGGCTTTGTAGGTGGCACAGGGAGCCTCTCTTTCTATCCCCATGCCCCTCCGGGGCACTGGCTGCCGAAGACTCTGGCTTTCCGGGGTGCAGGCCAACCTGTTTGCTTCCTGCGCAAAGGTGCTATTGCATCCCATTTCCCCTAATGCACCTTAATTCACAGCGAAGAGCTTATTTTGTAAGACTAAACACCTGGGGTCGTTTAATAGTTCCTGAGCTTGCCGATTTAAAGCGGCAGGGTCCGCTGGCGCTCCAGGGGAGCACTGGTGGCTTTGCGTCCTGCTCCTGCCCCGCCTCTGCATAGAGGAGCGCTGTAGGGTGACCGGCCGAAACCCTCACTGTGCGCGGGTCACAGGCAAGAGGTTAGGGGCTCGCTACGAGGGCGCCACAGAACCCCAATTGGGCTAGCAGTCCTGCTGCACATGCGGCTGCTGAAAGCCCTGTGCTTTCCTGGTGTTGGGGGGGGGGCGGGGAGCCGTGCCGGGGAGGGGGAGGGGCTCGAAGACTGGGCGCGGTCAGAGGAATCAGTTCGACCCCGAGACCTGGTGCCCCCACCTGGAGCAAAGACCTCACCGAGAGGCTCCCGCCATTAGATTCTTCTTGGTGGAAGCCCTTTGCCTCTAGCCCCTGGCCGCGGACTTAAAAAGTCTGGGCCCACAGGCAAGTCAGCCCTGGAGTCTATTCAGACGCACACAGGGGAGCTGACCCAAGAGACCCAGCCCACCGAGGAAGAATGCGGGGCTTGGCCCGCTGCTGCAGGCCGAGGTTCCCCGCGCTCACCTTGGGGAGATCCCCAAGTGTTCAAGTGGCCACTTCCATCCGCCCTCCCTCCCTGGAGCCAGACTTTCAGACCTAAGAAGTCATCACGGTTTCAACCACTACCTGAGCAGGCCACAGCTCTCGAGAAATGGCCAGGACACAAAGCCTAGACGTGGCCTGCTCTATGTTAAAAATAAATAAATAAAAGCCCACCTTTCTCTTTTTTGTAGCTAGAGTAGATTTGGTCAGACAAGAACTCGGTGCTGGGGGAGGGGGTTGTGGTGAAGGGGAAGACATATTTGTTGATGTCTCCCAGTGGTGGGTGGTGAGGGCTTCAGTGAGTGGCGCCCCTCCTGTCTGGGTTTGGAATCAGTTGAGAAATAAGGGAGCAATCACTGAGGTCGAGGATGGAGTTTGTGGGAGGGAGGAACCTAGTGTGAGAGCCCGAGGGCCTGCAGACAAGCCTCAGAGCAGCAGGGAGCCCGGCGGGCAGGGACATCCTTGGAGGGCCAAGGGGGCAAGTCCTCTCTGGGAGCTTCTATCTAGAGCAGGCCCAGCTGCTCCCCCGCCAAGGATGGGACCTTTCTGAAAGCACCAGGAAGGGGGGAGAAGCTTTGCCCTCCCCAACTATATGACAGATGGACCTTCCAGAAGAGAAATCAATACATATTCCAGCTTACTCAGGAAGGAAAGGGACACACGGATAAAAGTGGGATCCCAGGGGGTCATGTCTCCCTCCTCCAGCCTGTTCTGATTGACCCCAGGGACCCAAGGACTCCCCTCTGCCTTGTGCACACACCCCTTTCTTCTCCTTACTTTGCATGGAGTGGCAGCCTCCTCACATGTTGGCCTCCCCCCAGATATCTGTGCGGGCCCCTCTGCTCACATGCAGGGAGAGAGAGGGACTCTTGCAGCAAAGCTAAGGCTATCCCAAGGAGGCCAGAAGGCTCTGGGGACACCGGGAACCCCGTGACAGCCTTGGTGCACCAGGAGTGCAGCCTGCTTTCTTAAAAAAGGCAAAGGCCAGCTATCTGTTGCACAAATACCCAGCGAGAACCGCCCACCCCCTCCTGGGGCGAGGGTGGGGGACAGGTTGGGGGGACGGGGGCATGGGCGCACGTCCCCGCAGCTGCCACCAGCCCCTGCTCACCTGTCCTCTTGCTTTCTAGGAAAACTGTCCCTGGAGGAGTTCATCCGAGGGGCCAAGAGCGACCCGTCCATAGTGCGCCTCCTGCAGTGTGACCCCAGCAGCGCGGGCCAGTTCTGAGCCCCGCCCCCCACGGATCGTAGAGCTGCTTGCGTCCCCTTTCCACCTTTCTTTTTAACAATTTTTTTTTTTTTTTTTTGCCGATCAATATTGATGGTGACGCTGTCCCCCACCCACCCCGTGCAGTCAGACGCACCTTCCTCCGTGACGCCTTCGGCTTCCTTTGTCGGGGGGATGCCCAGAGCCCCAACGCGCTTGTGGAGAGCATGGACGCGCTGTCATGCAGACTTTGTGGTGTTCCTTGTTCCTTGAGTTTCCATCGTTCTTATTGTTGTTTTTCTTCTGATTCCAATGTCTGTTCTCAAACCGAAGACTCGGGGAGGGAAGAGAAGGGAAAGCAAGCCAGTCCGGGATTCTGTGGCCAGCTTCCAGGGGACTGTTTGAAAAACAAAACTCCCCAGCTGGGTCTGGAGCCACAGGGGCAGCCCTCGGGGTGATGGCGCCTGGTGCCGGCTTCCCAAGGACAAGGGACCCTGTGGGGCCAGGCTGTGAAAGCGCCCGGAGGCCTCCACTCCCCCTCTTCCCCAGCGTGCTGTAGTGTCTAAGCTGTGAACATTTCAAGATAAATTCATAGAGAAGAGGAAAAGATGGCTCAGCTGTTTCTTCACACGTTTACACTAGTTGAGCTAAGCTGAGTTTCTTTGGAAATTAAACACAAATGGTAACTTATATACAAAACCAGACCCATCTTGTTGCCTATTGTGATTAAAAAAAAAAAAGAGTGCTGTATATAAAATATTGGGTATTGCAGACCAAATTAAGTGTTTTGCCTTGTTTAAATGAAATGCATGTTTAGGAGCACTAATACAATCTTATTACAGAAGACTGTTTTTAGTAGCTTAATGTGAAGTAAGCCAACTATAATGAATGTCTATGTCTTGTTTTAAAGTCATATCTGTCTTTGCACAAATGCACCAATCAACAGGTATATTTTATATATTCCAGAGAAGTACAAAGTCACCATGACTAGGGCGCAACCTTAATTTTGAATGCATTTCCAGAGTGGTAGTGCCTACAGAATGGAAGTAGGACAGGTTTAAGTGGGACATGTCCATTGGAGCCCCAGAAGCTTCATCTTTAAGAGAGATGTGAGGTGATGGTTAACCCACTCAGCCCAGCGGCTCGATGGTATTAAATCAGAGGTACAATGTTCTTCTGAGTAGATTAATATTCTGTCGACCCGAAACACACACACACACACACACACACACACACACACACACACACATTCTTGAGACTTCCCTTTGGTTTAATCCACATTATGGTTAGGGAGCCGTAACTGCAATGTTGACATTTTCATGCCCCTGGTGGCCCTTCAAAGAGTCTGAGATTGGGCAATGAGCTGACTCATTGTGAAGAAGGCATGGCCTAGGGCGTCTGTGCTTTCCAGGGCCCACTGTGGGGAATCCAAAAGTATTTTCCATCACCATGTTCTTTGAATGCCAATTTCTATTTTCAAAAGTGACAGTGCAAATTTGAGTCACTCTTTGGTCTGGTGACCTCATACACACTAATTGGAATTGAAAGTTAAGAGTAAAAATTGCTGATCACAGGTAAGTCAGTCATATTTTCACAAGTAGTAGGCCTGGGGAAGTCCAAACACTCAAGGACATAGATGGGGAGGACCTGCTCCGGGAGGAGGCAGAGAGGTCCCGAGTGGGTTTATCTGCAGCCAAGCTACTTTCTGTAGACCATGACCCACAGAAAGACAAACATAACTATGAGGAAGATGATGCTGAGCCCATTCTAACTCCAGATTCTTCTGTATTATTTGAGTCCCTTTTAACTGGTAGCAAAAATCTGAATTTGTATGGTTGACCAAAATGAACCAACTTTGCAGGATGAAATCTGGAGACCTAGACGTGGTAAAATCATCTTCATCTTCCTCTGAGTGTCCATTCCTCACAGTGATCTATCCTGAGACTTGCTAAATTCCTCCATGGGCCAAGTGGTAAGATCTGGGTTTGAAAACTAGGGAATTAAATTAAGAGACGGAGGGCCCAGTGAGTGATGTTCAGGAGGTGCATCCCACTGCTCTGGACTGATGACCTAACTCCCCCTTTCAGTTCTCCTTAGAAGGGGAGTCAGTTAATGTTTGGGCAAGCCCGCCTAAGCTCTACCCTCGGTCAGGACATCTTGTTGAGCCAGACTCACCCAGTTCCCTAGAACTGAGAGCTGGAGTGAGGAGCAAGGAAGAGGGGCTCCAGCTGTTTAGGAGAGAAAACAGAGCCAGACGCCTGGCTAACGAATGCCGACATGCCTGGGATGTACGCAAATAGTCTTGTCCTGGCCTGCCATTGACCCTGTCTGTATTTTCTTGATGGTGGTTTTTTCCTTCTACTCCTTCCCAGGAAGGGCTTTGTATGTCTAATCCAATGCACTTAAATTTGGCCAAGGGACTCTGCAGCACCCAGAAGGCTGAATGACTAAAGGTTTAGGTCATTCCTTTGATGGGCTGTTCATTGTCATTGCTGTGATGCGGGACCTCTGGAAATGGAGTCTGTTCTGTCTGAAATTAAGCCAGTCTGTGATGTTCAAGGGACTGGAATAAAGTGGCTTATGACTTGAAGGACGATACAGAGTCATACTCTTGCTTAGGGTGGGGAAGGGGTGCTGAGGGTGCTGTTCCATCCCTTCTGTATGTCCCAGGGGACCCTCTCCACAAATGGATTTAATAATGTACAATTGACCCTTGAACAATAAGAGTTTGGGGTGCAGAACCCCTGTGCAGTCAAAAATCCACATATAATTTCTGATTCCCCGGAATTTAACTCCCAATAGCCTACTGTTGACCAGAAGTCTTACTGATAACAAAAACAGTCGTTTATGCCTATTTTGTATGTTATATGTATTATACACTGTATTCTTACAATAAAGTAAGCCAGAGACAAGAAAATGTTATTAAGAAAGTCACAAGGAAGAGAAAATACAGATACAGTACTGTCCTGTATTTATTGAAAAAAATCTGCATGTAAGTGCACCCGTGTAGTTCAAACCCATGCTGTTCGAGGATCAAGCGCATATATTTACAGATCCCATCATATGGAGTGGCCCCCATATCATGACTTCATGTCGCTTGAGCTTGGCATTCAAGCACATTGATTGTTTCATGTGATTATTTGGGACATGAGGGTCCTTTTCCTAAATTGCTGCCCCAGCTGAATCTGCCTGAGGGTCCAGGTGCCTATACTGCGCCCCCCCCCTCGCCCCCAGGTGTGGCTTCTGCCCTAAAGACACAGGAACCGGGGGGGCGGGGGGGGGAGGGTAGAGGTGCCGAGCCCAAAGCCCTGTCCGAAAGCATCCTTGGTCTGCGCATGGGCTTTCTTGCTTCTCTCCACTCACGTACGTCTCGGCCTTCACTTTCATCTGCCCTCGCCTCCTTCCTCATACCTGGAGCTGCGAACTCTAACCCAAACATTAGGTGCAATGGAAGGTGACTTCCTCTTCAGTGACATACGAACACCCTCTTCTCCTGTCTCACCCTCTCCGTCTGGGAAGAGTCAATAGAAAACATGACATGATGCAGACTGCACACCCTCAAAGCAAATTCAGATGAGGCTTGTTTTTTTGTTGTTGTTTTTTTGTTGTCATTGGCCCTACCTCCAGCACAGAATTCCATTAATCTAGGAAAAAGGGACTGAGGGTCAGCTATAGTAGGTGACTTGTGGGCCAACCAGACCTCCCGTAAGAACTGAGTTGGCCTGCGGGGGTTCTGTCTTTACTTCCCAGTTTGTCCCTGTGGACCAGCAGTGGCTACTCACAAGTACTGAACATGAACAACACCCTGTTGTTCATGGCACCGATGGTGAAGTGGCTGGCAGCCACCAACCTGATCTGGAGCCTGCACTCCTGCACCTGTTGGAGGCCAACCTGGCAATTTCTAGCAAATTTCCAACACTGAGTCTCCTATTTTCAGGGCACTGTCTTAATACCCAACCCACCTGGATCCCCTCACAGCCTAGTGCAGGCATGGAGGGGGCACACTGGTAGAGGAGGAATCTGAGTGTTCCCCTAAGTTGAGGTAGAGAGATCACAAGAACTGTCTTTGGAAGAAATGGAGATACTTCACACATGCCTCTCTTGGCTTGGGTATGCCCAGCACTCTGTTGAAATTTTGTTTTTTGGGGCACCTGGGTGGCTCAGTCGGTTCAGCGTCTGCCTTCGGCTCAGGTCATGATCCCAGGGTCCTGGGATCGAGCCCCACATCGGGCTCCCTGCTCCGTGGGAAGCCTGCTTCTCCCTCTCCTACTCCCCCTGCTTGTGTTCTCTCTCTCACTGTGTCTCTGTCAAATAAATAAAAATCTTAAAAAAAAAAAAAGGCAATTTTGTTTTTTGAGGTGGCTGAAGAAACAAGAACATTGAGACTCGTATTTTCCGAGGCAGTAGAATATCAGCTAAATCCACCTAAATAGAAAGGTTGTTGCATAGTGAAAAGATGTTCAGGCCAAGGGTATAACCGATGGTATATTCATTTCAAACAGGTTTCTCTACACTTGAACGCTGACCATGACTTAGATAGGTCCTGGATACTTGCCACACTGGATGTTAATGTGCCATGCAGGGTCCCAGACATCCCTGGGCTTACAAACAATGGTCATTCAGAGAACATTCCACAGTGTGGAGCTAAGCCCCTAGGGCATCTCAGAGGGGGTAAGGGCCTTAGAGAGGCTTATTTCATGACTTCTTTTCTCAGCACTATTCCAGGAAATAGATGGCACTTTAAGAGTTCTCTAGAAGGGATGGTCAAAATACTTCAAAATTCTGGGCAGCTCAGCCTGTCGACCTTATTAAATACTCACAACTGCTACCAGTACATCATATACATGTAGACAGACAGATGGACAGACTCAAAAAATGTATCTTTCCAATACCAGTATTTAACCATTTTACTGTGCTCGCACTGAGTGTTCAATGGTGACCCAGCACAATACCAAGTGCTATAGTCTTGGAGGTGTGTGTATGTTGGGGGTGGGTAGGAGGTATTAGCAAAGAAGTAGGAGACCAAGCTCACAGTTCAGCTGGTAAGTTTTGTCTAGCATCTTGAATACAATCACCAAGTAATCTACATCTATGTCTACAGCAGAGCAGAAATCAAGTTCTTTCCTGAGTGGTGCATGAGAGGTATTTGCTACGCAGGAAAAAGCTGGTAACGTTTGCCTTTAGTGCCCTTTCAACATCCCCTTCTCTTTTGCTGCTTCTGGCTGATCAGAGCCTCCCTCCCCCACTGTGTTTCCTAGAATTCCAGTCTCCAAAATTAACCCATGCACCCCTTTAGCAGAGTGCAGAAAAGTATAGGGATGAAAGACCCTGAGGACGAAAGGTTTAACAGCCTAAGGTGGTAGACCAGAAAACCCGTTCAGGGAATGTTTACTTTTAAGAGTAGAGCCCCAGTGAATTTCTATTGGAGACCTTTTAGAAGGGGCTGGCTGTGGTCACTAAAGGGTGCTCTTCAGATCTTTCGAGACCCTGCTGCTGGAAGCACAGCTAGCTGATTGAAAGGCTCCAGCTGCAATCTTTGGGGCCACCTCAGCATTTACTCCGAGGCCACGCTCTCTGGGGCTGCTCCCAGTCAGTGACTGCACATGGTGGGGGTATTAGAATTGAGCCATTCTTGCCCCACATGGGATTCTTCCGCGGGTGACCTTCGCTCCAGGACTCTCTGCGGGGCCTGGCTGAGGCAGTGTGAGGCTCCTCCTGCCCAAGCTTCCTTCCTTCCTTCCTTCCTTCCTTCCTTTCGGAGGGGTTAGTCCACATTCTCTCCCTGTCTCCCCCTGCTCATTTCCCCTTTATCATTCACACGAATTCCCCCAATAAATCTCTTGAATGTCTAATCCTATCTTGACTTCTGTTTCTTGGAGGACCTGAACTGACACAGTGACCATCCCCTCCCCCATTCCCATTGACCCTCAGATATATGGGCTCAGACATTCGAGTAGGTGGCCTTCCCAAAGTGAGACTCACATTGGTGATTTCTCATGTCGTACAAGAAGGGTTAAGGGTAGGAGGGGTTGTGTGCCTTAGAATTGGGGTGATGACAGAGCCCTGGCTCTCCCAGGGTGAGCCCTTATTATTGTGCTAATCATGCCAGGCCACCTTCACTTTGCACAAACATCACTGCCTCTTTGTCCCCAGCCTGGGGCACAGTGCCTGGACCACAGTAAGTGAACTGAATTAGCACAGAGAGTGGAAGGCAAGTCAGGGTTGGACCCTGTGGCCCTGACAACTGGTCATCCTCATCTACCTGACCTGAGTCCTGCACCGGGAAGTGGGAGGTAAGGTGGCACACATGGCCAGCAGAGTTCATCAAACAGAAGTGCCTTGGCTGCCATGGGCCAAGGGAGGGACCACCTCAGGGCAGATGCGGAGACCAGCTGCATCCTCTGCAGGACCTACTCAGGCCTGTAGGTCCATTCTACTGCCCATGAAGGCTGTGGAACATGGATCATGGCAAAAAGGCCTTTGTGGCCCATTGTTAATCCCATGATCCCTTGGGAATCCTCCTCTATCAGCTCCTCCCCCAGCCTCCTCTTCCCTGCCCTGGTCCAGGCATAGAAGCTGCTGGGGGTGCCACTGGCGGTACCACTGGGGTTGAAGTTGTCAGAGAAGACTTTCTCGAGGCAAATTTTTAGCTAAGATTCGAAAGCTGTGGACATGGACAGACAGTGTGAGATGCTGCTTGTTGGACTGGAGAGGCTCTCTGGTGGATGGTGGCTGAAGAGCAGGGTGGCTCAGTGGGGAGGCAGTGGGGCAAGAGCCTGTCATGAGATGATTGGAGTTTTAGCCACGTGGTTTCAGTGTCTGTAGAGGCTGGTACAGATGAACTAAAGAGCCAGAATGTTCTTGTGATAACTCAAGTGGGGGTGAGTGAACTGGGAGTGAGGAAGGTGAAAGCATGTGGACAGAACCTACTCCCTGCCCTTAGCTGGCCAAGAATAACCACCCTGGTGGCCCATCACCATCACATCGAAGGCCTCTTGATTTCTTTAGGTCTCTTCTCGTGTAACCTTGGGCGGAACACCACCAGTCCACAGGAAGAGGACACGCCTGCTGCGTTGAAGCCTAGGACACGAAGGTGCCCCGGGGGAGCCTAGAATCTTCCCAAGGCCACACTGAAGCTTCCTTCCAGCAAGGCGAAAAGCCCCAATACCCACCTCACAGAAAGCACCAGACACTGTCATTTACTCTGACATTATGAATATTTATTTTTTCTTCTTAAAAATGTACAAAAAATAAAATAACTGTATTTATAGTTTATAGATTCCCCCTCTCCCATTTACAAAACTATTAAGTTACATTTGCCTTTTTTTTTAAAAAAAACACGAGAGCAAATTGTCCATCTATCAATCTCCCTTGCTTGTTTTTAAGAAAGGGCCGTTCACAGAATTTGGCACAAACCCTCTCTTTCTGTTGCACTTTCCTAATTTTAAATAAGAAGGAAAATAAATGTTTGATTCATTTCACGCTTCCTAAGTTTCTGGGCTTAGGCTTTTAGGATCCAAGTCCAAGATGACATCTGACTGCATTTTTCTGTTGGTCCCAATATCCAAACACCTGTTAAGTCTAAGCAACTTGG